CTCCCGGGGGGGGGGAGGCACAGAACGGAGGGGGGGGGTCCCCGAGCCCGGCCGTTTCCCGAAGCTTTGCGTCGGAAACCTCCGCGTGTTGACATCGAAAAGAAAACACGGGGGTCCCAAATCGCCCCCCCCGCCGTGGGACATCGGTTGCGGGTCCGCCCCCCGCCCCCCCATAGAACAGCAATGCAGTTTGGGGGGCAGCTCCAAAGTTTTGTGGCGAACGAGAAAAGTGAGCAGAGCTGCGGGGGAGGCGGGGGAGGGGTCGAGGAAGGGGGGGGCGGCTCTGCTCGCATCTCCCGGTGTTTCTTTCCCCCCTCCTTGAGGGTTTTTTTCCCCGCTGCTAAAGTGACCCCATTGAGAAAAAAAGGGTGGGGGTTATTGGGGGGGGGGACCCCCGGGTTGCGCCTCTTCTCTGGATGCTTTTGTGAGGAGAAAGGGAATTATTCACCGAGAGAAGGAACTCAAATAACGACGATTGCCTGCGAAAAAGGGAAAGGAACCGGGAGCGGCGAGGAAAGGGCCTGAACTTGCGGTTAAGAAAAAAAAAAAAAAAAAGTCTCGATGCGATAATAGAGAAATAAATACAAAAAAAAAAAAAAAAGAAGAAGAAGAAGAAGAAGAAATAAATGCCGACCCCGAGGGCGCAAACGGGGGGAGAAAAGAGGAGGGATGGGGGGCGGTCCGGGGCTGCGGAGGTTTGGGAAGGAGGAAATAATCGGAGGGAAAAGGGCTGAAAGCCCCCCGGTCCCACCGCCCCGCTCCCACCCGCAACGCCCGAAAGCCGAACGCAGCGCGGTGACATCGGGGGGAAGGAAAACCGTCCCGGAAAAAAAAACAAAACAAAACAAAACAACCCAAAAAACAAAGGGAGATGATTTGGGAAAGAGACCAGGAAGAGCTGCGCGGCCACGGGCGGAGCTGCGCGGCTTTTGCGCGGCTTTTGCGCTGCTCTGCGGGGGCTGCGAAGCGTCGGGGCGGGACGGAGCTGAGCGCCCCGGAACGTTTTATCCCCATATTCCTCTTTAAGAACTCCAAAGCCAGGAGGAACTTCTGATTTATTTCTTACTACTATTATTATTATTTAGGATTTTCCTGCCTTGTTTTGTTCGGGAAGCGAAAGCGTTCGAAATCCTCTTCCAGAAGAGGTATCAAAGTCTCTTTTTTTAAAAGCTATCGATTGCAAAAGTCTTATTTAAACCAACACATTTGAGTTTCTCACATTTTAAAACATCATCTGGGGCCCATTGTATGGAAAATCGATTAGCAGAAATTGCCACGCTCTTCGCCTCCCGCTTGATTGTTGTAAAATCGAGACATCCATAGGCAAAGGGTGGGCTGGGAAAGATTTGGGACCGGAATGAAAGGGCTCGCGAGGAATCCATAGGCACTGAATAATTCACCTGCCAGGCGATGGGGCTCTTGTTTGGAAGCCTTAAAGAACTTTAAGGAAGTTGATCGCCTATAGGGGAAGTGCGTGCGGGGCGGTGCGGGGCTGCGCGGCTCCCGCCCGTGAGTGGCACAACAAAACCCGTGGCACAAAAAATCCCCTGCTGCTGTACCTGTTCGTCGGATGCCATAAATCTCACCCGTAGGTTCTCCTCCGCCTCTTATTTGGGGCAGCGTCGTTTTGCCTTTCGGGATCTTCCTAAAGGAGGGGGGGGTG